GGTTGCCCCAACCCAGGTGCAGGACCCCGCATTTGGCCTTGTTGAACCTCATGGGGTTCATACCAGCCCATTCCTTGAGCTTGTCCAGGTCCCTCTGGATGGCTTCCCATCCCTCAGGCATGTGAACCGCACCCCTCAGCTTGGTGTCATCTGCAAATTTGCTGAGGGTGCACTCGATCCCACTGTCTATGTCATTGATGAAGATATTAAACAGTCCTGGTCCCAGTATGGACCCCTGAGGGACACCGCTCATCACCGATCTCCATCAGGACATTGAGCCATTGACTACCCTCTGGATGCAACCATCCAACCAGTTCTCATGCACCAAATAGTCCACCCATCAAACCCATCTCTCTCCAATTTAGAGAGAAGGATGTTGTGGGGGACCGTGTCAAAGGCCTTACAGCAGTACAGATAGACATCAGTAGCAATTCCCTTGCCCACTGATGTGGTCACTCCATCATAGAAGGCCACTAGGTTGGTCAGGCAGGACTTGCCCTTGGTGAAGCCATGCTGGCTGTCGCAGACCACCTTCCTGTCCTCGATGTGCCTTAACACATGGAGCACAGCCTGCATGTCCGGCCTGGGCCATGTATGCAGTCTACACTCATTTTGCTGACGGCTTGGGATGGATGCTGCTGCATTGAACTGATCGCAAAAAATGGTGGAAGCATAAGTCAGGGGATGACACGTGTGACTGTTGCCTTAAGCCGTTATGAGGATGGCATCCCAGCACTGCTAGCGTGAGAGGCACTGGGAACAGTTAAGGGTGTCTAGTCTGAATTCATGATTTAAAGTGTCTGTAGAATGAATGAGGACAGATGGACATCACCAGAATCCTCTCGCCTCAGGCAAGTGTCTAACTAACTCGGGTGCAGTGAACCAGCCCCCAAAGATACCCGTCTCTCCCCATGCTTGTAGGGAGCCTAAATGACACAGTGCACTGAGACAGTGCTCTTGAAAAACCAGGATTGCTTCCCTAAGCCTTGGAGCTGCTCCAGCTGCTGTGCAACGCCACTGAAGCCAATGGGGACCCCAGAGCGGGTTGGGGACCAGCACGGTGCTCTTCCCCTGGGTGGATCACACACCTGGGAGAAGCCACAGACCCTCTGATCGGTTAGGGGCTCCTCTGGGAAGGGATGGGCTGTAGCTGCATTTTAGCAGTGGCACCTTGTGACACAGGGAATATGGAAGGAAACCTCAGATGCCAGCACACGCCGAGCAGCACAGCAAAAAGGAAAACAAGCCAGGGCTCAAGGGAGATTAGAGGCAGAGGGGGAAAAATCCCAGCCGGTAGCACGACAATGCAGGATTAAACTTGGGAAAGTGCAGAGCTAATGCAGAGGAGGGGAGAGACGAGGATGGGGTTGTCCAGCCCCAGATGTCTGGGAACAGAGAAACATTTCCGAAGTTCAACCCAGCTGAAAGATCAGCTCTCGTTGTCTGATCCCGTCACAGATGAGCAGCACAGCAGACAAGCTTATGACGTGAGCTCCGAAAAAAGCTTGTGATTATTTCCCTTCTATATTGGTACCTCCCAGATGCTGCTGGAACCTCACCAGTACAAAAGGGCTTCATACCAGTATAGGTCTCTCTCTCTTCCTACTTATGTAGATAACCATCATGGCACAAAGCGCTTTTATAAATACAGGCATACCAGGATAAGGGGTTGTGTGGCTTTAAATACATTAACAAGAGTGGCTAATATCTTTGCATAGTCTTAATTAAATCGTTAATTAAATCTGTGCCATCACTGAGTGTCAGCCAGCCCAGAGGGTCAGAGATAAAACAGATTCATGTGTAAGTTTTACTATAGGTATAAACAATTATAGCCACTCTGTTCACCCATGTCTGTCAAAACTAATTCACTTCTTTGTGAGCTCCATAGGAAGAGCTGGACTTGGACCGGCCATTTGGGGACCCATGGGGCTTCCTAGACACCTATGAGCATGCAAGCAGGACACCAGACCTGCTGGAGACCTCAGCCTCTCTGGAGCATCAGCTCAAGGCCAGGCAGATGGTCCTGCTGTGGCTCTAGACTTCAACATGGGGGTGTTGAATCCCAGTAGACCTTAGCAGGACACCCTCAACTTAAAAGAGGATATCTGTGTTTAGATGTCTTAAACTGTGGGTTGAAGCCCACCGTTGCAGTGTCTTTACTTCTCTTCTGCCTCAGATCTTCTCTCTGTCACCAAGGTGTGGAAAAGAGGGATTTATTACTGATGAGGTGTCCAGAGACTGTGCCATTGAGGCCCAGGCAGGTATTGCAAGCAAAGCAGAGCCATCCCTCTCCCAGGCTCCTCGAGTCTCCTCCTTTAGTGAGACTTTTTAAGTAACATCCAGCACAGGTCTCATATCCCATACAGGGGTGTAAATAAATAGCTCTCTTTTATTTTTTCACCCCCTTCCAGACCCTTGAAAAGTAACTTCAGAGGAGAATAAAGGACAAACCTGTGCAGAAAAGCAGCCCCGGGAGCAAGCTGGCTGGAGTTGGGGATGCCACAAAGCCCACATAAAACGTTCCCTTATTGCACCTTTCCAGCTTTGACTTCACGATCTGTTTTTAGCACAGCAGAAGGTTCAGCA